ATGCAATGCTTGGTAAAGAGTTCCCATTGGTCCCCAGTAAATGTTGCCAAACCATCATGGGACCAGTATGCACAACTGTGAAGCTTTGAGAGATTTCTGATTAGAGGAACAGCTTAGATCCTTGGAAGGAATCTTGGTGGGGGTGGTTGTTTCGTGTCACTCACCTCCCTTCCAGTGCAGCAATGCTTTCACTCACATACCCAGATGATTCTAGAACATCCTTAGAGAAAAGGACCTTCATGTTTTCATGTTGTTCCCTTCGGTCTTTTTCTTGGCCACCAAAACTGAGGACCATGAATATAATAACACAGACCATAGACTTAGGGCCTCATAGAGGGTTCTAGAAGGTAAAAAAAAAAAAAGGAAGTAACCAAGAAAAGTAGAGTTGGTGGTCTATAGTTTCATTTAAGAGGCAATAACATAACGCTAAAATAAGTGTCATGATTTTATTTGAAAATCTTAATCTGTTTCATGTGAACTGTTAAGATATGCTGACATAAAAGAAAAGCCACAGCTTAATTTTGCAGGTCTGCACAAATAGTCTTGGGGGTCCTTCCATGTGAACTTTGTTTCATTAATTGCTGCTCTGTTGATTTTAAAGAGAAGCTTGAAGGAGAGGTTAAACAGCATTTAAAACAATAGTGATGTATATACAACTTGACAATATGAATCAAGAGCCATAAAAATGTCCATACTCTAAAGTAAAAATTCAGTCAGGGATTAACTAACCTAAGAAATTCGTTTAGAATATGAAAAAAGCCACATACACAATATTCATTGCTATGTTATTGGTAGGGGTAAAAATTTGGAAGTAATTTCGATGCCCTATGATAAGAATAAATTACTAAATTCCTGCTCAATAAACTATTAGTACCTTTTAAATGAATGGTTATGAAGATTATGTGGCAACACAGAAAATACTGAAAATGTCATGCTTTAAGATTACATCACCCCAGTGAAAAAGATGGAAAGGAAATATATCAAATGATAACAGCTGTGTTTGGGTAATGGCATGATGGTAGTTTTTTTTTTCCTCCTTTTTGCTCATGATTATTTTAATCACTTTTCCAATTTTATAAATTGAAAAACCAATTAAAAGCACCCAAATGGAAAAGCTAATAGTTAAAGCCAGAAAGACTATGATGGGGTTATTTTAAAGTTAGCTGTTCTGCTCATCGCTTCATGAGGGATTTCACAGGGGACAAAACTGCAAGCAGTTATTGCGATTTGCAAGGCATTATGCATTTATTCTGAGAGTGGTGGGGGTGGTTGGAAAGACAGTGGAATAATAACATGAGGAAGGAGACCCTCCCACCCCCAGCTGCCAGTCATTCAACCTAGGGCTTCAAGAACCAATTTCTGCCCAAAGTGTGGTTGGTCCCGAGTGACTGCTTCCCACAGACCATTGTGATGGTGATGGTTGGGATGTGGCCTAACCTCCAAAACAGCTCCCAGTGGATCAGGCATTTCATGGAGGAGCCCGGGGAAGCTGTCTCAGCTTGGAGTTGCTGGTCATCAGAGACATGGCAGCCTGTGCAATGTTGACCTGGAGGTGAACAGTCCCCTTTCTCATACCCACTCCCCGGAGGCAACAGTTCCTCATTAGGGTACAGTTTCTAATCCAAACAACCATTAATCTTTCTCAGGGTTAAAAGGCCAGAAAAGCAATTTTTGCGCTCTCTCTCTCTCTCTCTCTCTCTCTCTCTCTCTCTCTCTCTCTCTCTCTCTCTCTCTCTCTCTCTCTCTCTCTCTCTCTCTCTCTCTCTCTCTCTCTCTCTCTCTCTCTACTGTATTTGTCTGTATTTTACAAGAGCAGACTTACTTCCTTGACCACTGGAAAACACCCCCCAGCTGTGTCTACAGCTATGCAAACAATGCCAAACCCAACACAGCCCTCCATGCGGAGAAAGAGACAGGAGTGCAAGACGGGTCAGCTATTTATTGTGGCTTGACAAAAACCATAGAAACATGACTTACATGAAACAAACTGGTATTTTGTATCACAAAATAAATTAGGGATGTGCATGTATTTTAAGTGAAAATGCCACTGAATGTGACAGTTTTATGAAAGTAGCATTATAGAAACTTTTGAATACTGTTCAATTTCCTTGCCTTTGCAAGTAAGTTAATCCATATAAGTGGAGCTGGGACTCCTGAGAACTTTTTGATCTTTTAAAGGAAATCAATAGAACAATAGGATTTGACTTAGAAAAATGCACTCAATTGTCTCAGAAACATCAAAGTGTATGGTTCACATTAATGGGCCTAATAGCCTATCTCACACGCTCTTAATAGCTAAAAAACACATCTTTTCCATATTCTCATATTGTAAGAACTGAAAATGGTAAGTATTAAGATAAAAAAACATGAAGTCTTCCTAAATCTGTTTCCTCATGCTTGACCTTTAAATCCTTCCTCTAGAGTCATCATCAGTATGAACAGCAAACACTCCGCCTGGTGAGTCACATTTAGACATCTGGCTACTGGTAGTAAAGGCATTGAACATTTAAGAGAGAAAGGGAATGCATTTTTATATGTCAAATTATTTCACATTAAATCCCCCAAACTCAAAACCTCATATTAAGGACTAGATAATACATAAAATCTAATCACAGCGTTTTCAAGCTGGAAGAGGCCTTGGTTGAATAAAGTAAGACTCAGACCGAGGGACTGGAGCAGGACCAGGGCTTTTGACTCCTAGTCTAAGGTTGTTCTAATGATGTCACCTTGCAGAAACTATTACAAGAGTTCTAGAAATTCCCTGGACTTTTTTTTTTTGGGGGGGGTGGCGGGACGGGAGGGGAGGAAAGGGGCCGGACACATATGTTTTTGCTATGCCAAATGCATTTTGAGATATTTATTAACAGTTTTTACTAAAGTTTCCTGAAGAATCTCAGATTGGAAGAGCATTTAGCTGTTCTCCACATCATTCACACAGCTTCTGCTCTCAGAATCCATGATTCTCTTGAAAAGCTGGAGGGAAATTTAGCTAGATAGGGTCTGCAAGGTATAGCTGATATTCTGTTGGTGATGCCTCATGCTTGCCTTTGGGGCATTTGGTATAAAGAATCTGCATGTTCTGTAGGAATAACAACTATACCTTACTGATACCATTTCTAAGTAAAAAATGTCTACATACATAGCTATCTATAACATATATACATATATATGCATACAAAATTACTGAAAGGACATATACCAAACTTTTAACAGAGGCTATCTTGGATGGTGCAATATGAACACATATTTTCTTTTGTGTTTATCTTTGTATTACCAATTTTTGGTACTGAACATATTTTATGTTTGTGATTAGAGAAAACTTTCAATAAACATTATTTAAATGATATTTTAAAAATCTTAAGGAAATAAAGACCTTTATAAAGTGGGCCTGGGCAGGTTGAATGGCGCAGATATGCTCTTTTCATTCATGATTTAAAATTATGATGTAATTATACATATATATATACATATATATATATATGGCTTATTTGATTAAGTCTTTAATTCAATTTAAAACACGAGTAAATCCACAAGTCCACCGAGATCTAGATTCCAAAGCTTGAGCAGGCAAACCTCGATGTAGGAACCTTTGTGAGGAAATGAACCACAGAAGTTTCAGCAGGTAGAGGGGGCAGATGGTCACACTCCTTAGATTTTACTTGCAAGGCTGAAGTCTGTAAACTACAAAACTGCTTGATTTTGAATTAATTTATTCTGAGCACCAGAAACATTTTTCCAAAGAGGGAATTAAAATGTGAGTATTTTCTAATTCAAAAAGATATATGCACCCCCATGTTCATTGCAGCATTATTTACAATAGTCAAGATACAGGAATAACCTAAGTGTCCAACGATGGAGGAGTGGGTGAAGAAGATATATATAGCACGCTATAGTGTATACAGATATTGAATTATAATGTTGTACATCTAAAACTTACATGTTATCTCAATTAAAAAAAAGTGTTTTTCTCAAAAGAACAATTTATTTGCCAGAGGATCAGTCTCTAATATTTTACCCCTTTGCATTTGTTTTTACCTTTTAAATATCAGTTGCTAGTATTTTTATAAAATATGATGAATCTGACCGAAAACAGTAAAGTGGTATTTTTCTTTCTTTTCTTTACTCCCTTTGAAATTAGAAGATATATGCTTGTTGTAACAAATCCAAACAATACAGATGTTTACAATAATAAAAAGTTTAAAATATAAAGTAAACAATTTCGCTTAATTCTCTATATCCCAAATCCCATTTCTCCAGTGATAACGTTTTTCCTTTTCAAGATTTTATTGGGGAATTGGGGGAAGGGAACAGCATTGGGGAACCAGGGAAGGGGAAGAGACAAGTTGCTATCCTTTTTTGTTCTTCAGTCTAGTTGTGGAGGACGTTGCTTCACTGGCCCATGTTGGCATCATCATTGCGCTCTTCCTGGCTGAGGCAGATTGGTCGCTGGCCTCTGGATGGCCGCTCATGGTGGCTCTTGGCAGCTCACAATGGCTGCGGCCGCTCACACTGGCTGCTGGCCGCAGCCATAAGTTATACACGGTAGCTTATGGCAGCCCACTGCAGCAGGGGCTGCAGCCTACACTGTTGCCGGTGACTCATGGCAGCTCAGCTCCAGGTTGAGCTGTTGTTCACCATCTTAGCTGTACAGGGCAGTGTCACTGGCCCCCATGTGGGATCCGAACCGGGGCCCTGCTGCTCAGAGCTGGCATCCCAAGCCAGCTCTTAACCCAATATGCCACTCAGCCGGCCCCTCTCCAGTGATAACTTTTAATATTTTGATGTGCATCTTTCTTTTCTACATATAGACATATATTTATATATAATTAAAACAAAAATCAGACCATACTAAAATATAATTTTTCTGCAACTTACTTTCTTCCAATTTAGCAGATCATGGACATATTTCCAATAGTTTTACTATGTTCTTATTAATAGCACTATAGCATTCCACTATTTAATATACTGTGATTTATTTATCAATATACTGTTAATGAATATTTAGGTTCTTTCAAATTTTTTATTAGAAAAAGTGCTGCCTGAAATATCCTTGGCATATTTCTTAACACACTCATGCTAGTACTTCTATAGATTTCTAGAGGTGGCTTGCTGGGCACAGGATATGTGCATTAAAAGTTTTGATAGATACTGAGTTTTTACCCATTTGATACATGAAGCAGAGGCAGTCTGTGGGGTTTGGGATGGGACTGCAAACGAGGGTCCAACATTGTGGGCATTTGTCTAACCTGTATTATGGAAGGAGCTTGACTTTGAGCATCACGGAATCTTCTGCAGGGTAAATTTATATCCCATTCAAATGTAACAGATAAGTTCTGTATGGAGATGAAAAGATAAAGCTCTGCCTAGATCAACTTCTGATTTTAAACTATGATAGCCAATGGTTATTCTTTCCATGAATGCGAAAATTAATACAGTTTCATTGAAGCTTCAAACAGGGCAGACAGATCCTCCTCCGACTGAGGGCGTGGTGCAAGCTTGGTGACCCTTTCCTGAAACAGTAAACAAGAGGAGTTACTCTGGGCTGTGAAAAGAGGGGGGTGGTAGATGAGGGTAAACGGGATCAAATATATGGTGATGGAGGGAGAACTGACTCTGGGTGGTGAGCACACAGTGTGCTATATAGATAATGTATTACAGAATTGTATACCTGAAACCCATGTAACTTTACTAACCATTGTCACCCCAATAAATTAAAAAGGAAAAGAAAAGACAGCTTGCAAAAGCTACTAGGTTATGTAAATGAACTTGGGAATGAGAAACAATGACTTGATAATAGCTATGTCTTTAAAAGTCACAGTCCTTGTTTGCTTTGTACTAGCTGGCCCCCAACTCAGAAGTTTATCAAGTTACACCTCTTTCCTACAAAGCTTTCAAAAGCCATTGTCCTTGTCTTATGTCCTGGGAATACCATTCTGCCCAAATGTACAGAACCAAATCAACCGTGGGAGAAACACCCCTATAATGACCAAACCGTGTCTAGTCAGCAACCTCTGCCAGTTCTGTGTGAGCGGAGAGCACAGTCCCAGGCACAGCAAGTGCAGCCAAAGAAAATAGAACTGGGTTGTCCTTCACCTCAAAGACTGTATTTTGCAACTTGGACTTCAGGTATACATTTGAAAGAACTTCATTAGGGCATAACTTTCAGGCTGCGGGCAATAAGTAACTCCTTTTTAAATATTAACTAGGGCTTTATTTCTACAGTCCCCAGCGAATTCAGTGACTTGCTTAATTTTTCTACTGATTACTGACTCAAGTTAGCACATCCTTTTGCTATTTATACTCCCATCAGTGGCTCCTAAATTCCTCTGGGACAGGGGATTAAAGGATATTGTAATAAGTACCCTGTGTCTGAATTTCTGGGGCTAAATAAAATTAAGAAGTGGTCAGTTTTTTGGGTTCCATTTTCATGGATATCTCTGTCTTGTGATGAGCACTTGTTTGGGAGCATATCTGGCTGGTATAAGAGGGACGCTCCACACCTGGCACCTACTAGAGTGCTCAATACACCGTTAATAGGTGTTCAACAGTTATTTGTGGAATTAATGAAGATGGTGGGAGTGGGGGCGTTGGCATCTCAAAATTCATATGTACAAGATAGAACGTGGACTCCCCTGCCTCCCATTTTCGTCATCTCAGAAATGACACCTAGTCACTCAGGCGAAAGCCTAGGAGTCATCCTTGATTCCTCTTTCTCTTCCCTAAATGTTAAATCTAAATCTATCAGCAAGTCTGTCAAATTTACCTCCAAAATAAATCCCAAATCTGACCACTTCTCACCGCCTATTCTACCACAACCCAAGTCTAGGTCACCCTCTCACTCCCCTGTCCTACCGGCAAGGCCTGTTAAAGGTGTTCCCACTTTTGCTCCACGCTCGCCCCCTAGAGGTCAATCTCCCTATGGCAGAAGGGTGATTTTTTTCCCCCCAGTATAAATCTGATCATAACATTCCCTTGCTTAATGCCCTCCAATAACTTCTCATTGCAACTAGAACAAAACCATAGCCTCTAATGCCATCTGATCTGGCCCTGGTTCTTGGCCCAGCTCTGACTCTTCTCTCATTGGTTCATCTCACAGACCCATGTCCCCTCTCAGTCCTATGAAAATGCTAACCTTCACTAGCCTTTCCCCTCCGGCTGGGCTGCTTCTCCCAGATTTTCACTTGGATACGTCCACCTTCAGTCAGAGACCTTCTCTGACCATCCTCTCTGGGGTTCCTTCCACACTGTCCCGTGTGAAATCACCCAGTTTTTCCTTCATACCACTTATCATTATCCGAAATGATTTCATTTGTATGTTATTTATCGATTTGATTAGATGTGCATTGTCTGTCTCCCTCACTAGAATGTAAGCTCCGTGAGAAAGGGAAAGAACTTTTATTTTCCTCCTCACTGTATCCCATAAAATGCATGGTATATAGTAAGACCTCACTAAGTATTTGTCAGGTAAAAGAAAGAATGAAAGGAAGGATATATACAAAAATTAACTCAAAATGGACCTAAATGTAAAGACCTAACTGTAAGAGATAAATCTTAAAATTCTTAGAAGAAAACGAGAAAATCTTCACGACACTGGGTTTCTTGGATATGACACCAAAAGCACAGGCAACAAAAGAAAAAACAGATAAACTGGCCTACAGCAAAATTTAAAACTTTTATGCATCAACAAACATTATCAAAAGAGTGAAAAGACAACTAATAGAATGGGAAAAAATATTTGCAAGTCAGATATCTGATGAGGGATTAATATCCAGAATATATAAGTAATTGCTATAACTCAACAACAAAAAACCCCAGACAACCCAATTCAAAAATAGGCAAAGGACTTGAATAGACATTTCTCCAAGGAAGGTATATAAATAGCCAAGTACGTGGAAAAACGCTCAACATTATTAGTCATTAGGGAAATACAAGAAAAACCACAATGAATTTCCACTCACACCCAGTAGAATGGCTATCAAAAAAAAAAAAGGAGAAAAATAGCAAGTATTTAACAAGTATTGATGAAGCTGTGGGGAAACTGGAATCCTCATATATTGTTGGTTGGAATGTAAAATAGTGCAGCCATTATGGAAAACAGTTTGGCAGTTCCTAAAGAGGTTAAGTATAGAATCACATGATCCAACAATTCTATTCCTAGGTATAACCAAATAAACTGCAATCAGGGACTAAAAGAGATACTTGTATTCCAATGATTCTAGCAGCACTATTCACAATAGCCAAGAAGTGGAATCAACCCCAATGTCTATCTGAAGATAAATGGATTAAAAAATATGGTATACTATACAATGGAATATTAGTCAGCCCTGAAAAGGAATGTGATTCTGAAACATTAAAGACATATGTTAAGTGAAGTAGGGAAGGCACAATAGGATGAATATCGTATGACTCTGCTTATATGAAGTACCTAGACTAGGTAAACTCATAAAGACAGAAGGTAGAATCGAAAGTACCAGGAGCTGGGGGGAGGGGAGAATGGGGAGTTATTATTTACTATTAAACAACAGAGCAGAGCATCTGTTAGGGATGATTAAAAAGTTCTGGAAATGGATAGTGGTGATGGTTGCACAAGATTGTAAATGTACTTACTGGCTCTAAATTGTTCATTTAAAAATGGTTAAAACAGTAAATTTTGTTAGGTGTATTTTACCACAATTAAAAAAGTGAATTAAAAAAAGAAAGGATTGAGAGACAGATGGGAGAAGGATGGGGACTATGCTGATGAATATGGGTGAAGGTGAGGCAGAACGGTACCTGCTAGCGTATCTTTTAGAAACTTGAAAGAATATTGAAAATCCATAGCAAGGCAGACTTGTTCATGGCAACCTATGCATTAATATATGTTTGTGCCAGGGTCAAGAACTGAAGTTCAGTGCTTGCTACGGCTGAAGATTGCTGCCCCGTTATTCCATTTATAATGGCGTGAGTCTTATCGGATGAGCTCAAAGGCCCTTAAAATGATCCTGTCCTTTTTGGTGAAGTCGTTTAGGACATTCAGATGTCCTCAAGGCCCGGAAGAGAAGCTGAGCTGGGCTTCTTCTTTCACATTTTTAATCCCCGATGATTGGTTAAACGGGGGCAAGGAGGTCAAGTTTGCGATATATCCCCACACGTAGCATCATGCCGTATAAAAGCTAAACTCTCAGAATTAAGATGTGTTCTGCGATGTGCTATTATTTATAGACATGGAAGAGGCCAAAGGACAACGGATGAAGACAGGCACGGAAATAAACCCCGGCTACTACTTTTATCACATTCATAAACCAACAACATTTCAGCTGGCTTGTCTGCCAGGGAGTGGAAGTGCTCGTTTTGGTAGACAGCTCTCCTTAGTCATGAAATGTTTTGATTGGAAATGGAAATGGTTCTTTCCAGAGGTTTCAGAAACCCAGTTTGGGAGATTAATTTATTCCTGCCTGCTCCCCTTGTTGCCTGGCGATGGCAGTTGGGAGCCTCTGTCCACACACAGGGCTGCTATGTGCTGCCGCCGGTAGGAGCTGTGATGTTTGGTCAGGAATACTGGCCTGGTTGTTCCTCCCAGAGAAAACCGACCCCTGGCTGCTGAACATACAAGGAGCTTTATCAAATGTCGACTACATGAAATAACCTTTTTTGCAGGAACCAGGATATCTCCTGCCCCTCACCCCTCGAAATCCTGTAAATACTAATAAGTGAAGAGTGGTCTGCAGCATGTAGAAAATCCTGAAGTTGCTGTAGCATTCCTGTAAAACGTTCACTGCTGCCAAAACCCAACAAAAAACCTCACAGTAGTTCTCCATTTACAAGACAAGCTTATTTCTAAGATTCCTTCTCAAGTCCTGTGAATATACCTCTTTCTCTCTTATTTATATCTATACCTATATCTATATCTATCTATATACCTATGTCTGTCTGCTATCTATCATCTATCATCTTTTATCTATCACATCTATTATCTATCTATCTATCTATCTATCTATCTATCTATCTATCTATCGATCTATCATCTATCTATCTCACATATATCACATTGACTCCAAAATGGAACTAGTGCGAGTTAATTAAAATTATGTTTCTCCCAATCATAAAAACATGATCAAAGGGGAAAAAGGCAGCATTCATGCTGGGACCGCTTTAGGAATACAGCTTGAGGAAATGCTGGCTTCCTACTTTATAGACATGACTTGCACCTTCTGTGAAACAAAGAAATTAGTTTTGTCTAATTAAAGTGTTGCTCTCTATTTCTCAGTATGACACGTGCACTGAGGCATTCAGAATGATATCTAATTAGCTTGCTATTTTAGTGGATGGTCTCAGATGTTAGTTTTGGAATAGCTTCTGAAAATGAAAGTCTGAGCACGGCAGAATTAAAACAGTAAATAAACACTTGCCAGTGCATCCCGACGGTTGGGAGATGCTTTGCCACCAGCAATTAAATGGCCAAGAACATCACACAGTTTCACCTGAAAACCATGGATACCATTCCTAGAGGTTGACAAACACATATTCCTGAATACTTCCCTGGGCTAAACAAGCAGAAGTTTTCAAAAGACCCCTTGCAGAATGGATACTATGACTGGGACCGTGCTCTAAGAGCCTGAGCCTGCATCAAACTCATGGTGACCGTCTGGTCTCTGATGTCTTTAGGTAGGTTTCCATGGCTCTTTATCATTGGTTGAGTCCTATTAAATCTAAGGAAACTACTCAAGAAGTTACCACCATTCAGCCATTAAGCTCACCCGGACAGAAGATTTAGAAGGAGAGGGCTGCAGGTATGTGTTCGTTTAACATGTTTACTAGCCTGTGCTAGTTACAATAGAGAATGGATAAGGAAAATAGATAGATTCCCGCCCTCAGGGAGCTTACAGTCTAGTAGGTTTAAACAAAACAACTGGGATGGTCATGGCTTTTGGCTATTTTGTCCCTTGGACTGTGGGTTCAGGAGTTAGTCTAGGGGCTTTTTTCTCATTCATTTCTGTTTTTAGAAGCAACTGAGACCACTGGGCCTGAGTCTAAATCAGGGAAACTGATGGTTCAAGGGCCATGTTTGGTCTGCATGATGGGAAATAAGGGAATTCAATACATATCCAGACTGCTGATTTTTCTTGAAAACTGGAAGTTCTCCCAACACTGGGACCTGAATTTCTGCTTGGAGAGGATAAACTATAGCTGAAAAGTGGCTTACCCCATCAGATGGGTCATGTGATTTCTGGTTCACCAAAGTATCCACCACTCCCCATTGCCTTAACTGACTTTGTTTATTGCTGTTATCTACCTGGCTCCTGTACCCGTGAGTCTGTGAACCTAATCCACACAAATACTACCTTATGTGAGCTGAGGTCTTCAACATTCTCAGCACTTGCTAAGTGGGGAATTGCTGAACTGGAGTGGGGCGAAGAAAAAGCACTGCTATTGATTATGGTAAGCAGGATGCTGTGTGAGTAGATATTCCAACTGTTAACTCTGTTCCAATGTCAGGGAAAGATCCTTGAATACTTTGGGGCAGACATGACTTATCTTCACATCCTCACAGCGTTTAAATGATCTTTGCTTTTCCCATTTCAGACAGGAGGGCTAAGTGAACACCCTGGGCCTGGTGAGCATGGCGTGGTCCACAAACTGAGCGCCCATGGCTCGGAATCTCTATTTGATGGTGCATTGCAATAAATGTAGTCTTGGCCTATTAGGATCTGATGCTATAGCACAATGGAAGAGAGGTCCAACACAGCATAAGCTCTCTTCATGTGAACTTTGCGAGGGGAAACTTGACATCTATTATGACTCTACCAAATAAAGGGTAACAGCTCAGTTTACACTCTTGAGCAACATTTAAATAAATGAAATAAGATTCAAAGTGACACAGATATGTACACATATAAAATATACAATCTCCCAAATATACTAAAAAGTGATTTTGTCATGGTGACTACTATACAGTAATATTGTACTATATAGTAGAAAGTTGCAAGGAGAGATCTTAAAAGTTTCCGTCACAAGAAAAAAAATTATTGTAACTCTGTGAGGTGATGGATGTTAATAAAAGACTTATTTGTGGTGATCACTCCACAATATATACAAATATGGAGTTATTATGTTGTATACCTGAAACGAATATAATATCAATTATATCTAAATAAAAAAAGTAATTTTGTAATAGTCTTTAATTTAAAGGCCATATCTACTCTTCACAGTAGTAGGAATTTGTAACTCTTTATAGTGAAAAATAATATTAGTGGCCCTTTTGGAACAGTTTCACATAATTTTATAGGGGACTCTTAAAAGAGTAGACATAGAGAAAAGAGAGAACCTCAAGATAAATGTGGTTTGTTTCTTTGCCTTGAATTTTTATAAAGGCTCCTTTCAGTTACATCATAAAAGTTTCACACATGCCACAGTTTTATGGAAGAATATAAAGATGACGGAGCCTTGGCCCCTCCCCTGGGAAAGGGGAGAGCTGCCGTCTGATACAGACAGACTTGAGGATGCTGGGTTTTCATCTCCCCTAACACGCCCCCAACGGGACACATCTTTCCGGCAGCTTTGTGTTTCTAGAAGGGAGGGAGGATGCGCTGTGTCTCTTACCTGGGGCAGCGTTCCTTTCACTAATGCGGGGATATCAGCCTTAGAGTAACCAATGGCAGCCAGGCCATCATCAACATCCAGATTGAATAAGAATTTCCGGAGCGCATCTGCCAAAACAAGCCCAGCATCTGCGGTCCTGGCAGTGCGGGTGTCGGCCCCTAGAAGACACAAAGCGCTGACTGTACACAGAGTGGAGGAAGCTCACCCTGGGTGTAATTCAGGCACAAGGTAGCTGATGTATAGCCTACTGCTGGTTCCCTGACACGGAGGACAAGGGCGCCGCTGTGCCTCATGGGGGCCCGCCCAGCGGTCAGCCCCACAGAAGACAAACGGGCCAGGCCAGTGCAGAGAAGGCAGCTGGGGCAGCTCACCTGGCTCTCACATTTCCGATGGGCTGTTCCCCCCTTGTGGGGTGGGAAGGAGAGGAACAGAGCCAAGAAAAGAGGCACAGGAAGGAGACCAAGAAGGAAGGCTGGTGTTTGGATGAGGAAGAAGGGGCATTTGTAGCAGAAAACGCAGCTTACATAACTTTCAGGGCTTGGAATTTGCTGACATCTAGAGGTACACATGTTCAGTGTCTTTTCTCATGGTAGGAAAGGAAGACAAACCCTTTGTAAAAACACCTTGTGAGATACGGATCTATGTTAAGTACAAACACTCCGGTGTTCACTGCCAAAAAAGAGGAAAACGACAAAAATGGACTATCTGTGGCCAGGGAAGGAAGGGTTTCCTGTCTATAGCTACAAGTTTTTATTTTGGACTCTGTTACCACAGGCCAAGGTAGGTTCCTCTAAATAAATATTACAGACTCAGACAGAGCCAAGAACATGAAGATTCTCAGAAAACAATATTTAGTATGTAGGTAATAATATTGGTAAAGGGGGAGGAAGCTTCCCAAGGGTTGGAGAGATGTAAGGGTAGAATTTGGGCATAATTAACACAAAATCATAGAAATGTCAGTCTAGAAGAACAGGGGGTACTGCCCTCAGGCAGGGTGGCGGTGAAAGTTCCCAGAGGAAGGGAACTGACCAAGCCCCCAGCACTCCTGCACCCTTCCCCCCCATCTGTTCTAGTTGACCATCTTCACTATCAGGGAGTGAAACACCTTACAAATGGAAGGTAACAGTAGTTATTCTCCAAAATGCCTCGTGCTGTGGTCCAAGCCCACCTGGAATTTGCAAAGGAGGCTAGAACGTGCGGTTCACCTCCACACTAAAGCACATTATTAAATCAGTTTTCACCTTTCTCTTCCAGGACACTGAGGACTGTTTTAGTAATCCAGGAAAAGGTATAAATAGAATCAGATACAGGGCTGGTAGGGAGAGCAGCTGAATGGAAGGCAAACCTTGCCTGACAAGAGCAGTCTGTATTCCAGAGTGGCAGCTAAAGTATGGAGTAGGTGGAGTGGTGACACACGATATGAGGTTTATGAGATTTTTATTTTCCTGGGATTGCTGCCATAAAACACACCATCAAAACCTCTGGGTTTTCCTATGAAGTGTTTTAGAAAAAAAGAGGGTAGCAAAGCGACTACATTGGTATAAAGCTAAGAAAATCTAAGATTACATAGGGAAGCAACGTATTTAATGACTAAGTATAGAATGATATTAAACACATTTCCTACGCAAGAAGAAAGAATTGGTGGGTTCTACTGGCCTGGGTTTTGTCTCACAGAGGAATCGCTTTCTCTGTAATTTTGTTGGCTGCCTGGGAAGTTCTCTAAGATTTTCCCATTTCCCATAAAGCTCGTCTATTTTGACTCCTGCCTATTTTCACTGTTTGCATATTTACAAAGGCATCTGAGTCCCAGCAAATGACTAAACAACATCCCCAGGCCCAAAGGGAAAAGGGACACAAGACCCTTGGTAAAGCTGGCGCCACATTTTCAGCAGAACATGGTGGAAAAACCAAGGCCCCAGCACTGCTTCCGCTTCTCTGCCCTGGACTTGTTTCATGAACACTCCCGGCCCAGCGCCGGGAACTCAGCAAAAGCACAAACGTCAGTGTGAGAGAGAAGGTGGGGTGAAGCGGCACGCCGGAAGGATGTCTGTGGTCATTCCTACCTTTTTGGAAACAATCTCTCCAACGGCTGGTGCTAGAAGAGCATAATGAAGTTTTCTTTTTAACCTTTCCCTTCCTACCCTAAACGCAAGTAGGGGAATAAGATGTTTGGAAAGTTAATCAAATATTCGTTTACTTAAAAGAGGGCTCATCTTAGAAAAATAACCAAAATTTTACTCAACCCTAAAGCTATCCTGAACATAATTTTATGTGTTGTAAGATTCAAAAGGCACAGTTGGAATCTTATTATAGACATTATTTATTCTCCAGAGCAGTAAGCAAATTCTTCTTTTGGGATCGTTTTATAGTTTTTAGCTGTTTAGATTCTCTGTAATTGAGAATTTACTGTTACTTCCTCACTTAGATTCATTTTATTACCCGTTAAACATAATAAAAGCCATTTACAACACGGTAGTCTATAAAGAATTACAAGGGCCGGCTGAGTGGCTCAGTTGGTTAAGAGCTCACTCAAGAGTGTGAGCTCTGAGCAACAGGGTTGCTGGTTTGATTCCCAGCACAAGCTGAGCTGCTGCTGAGCTGCTGCTGACATAGGGTTACTCCAAAGTGAGCACAAGCAATATTTAGTTCCATTTCATTGTTAATAGGCTATTTATTAGAAACATAAAATTACAGAATTTTAGCGTCAATAGGACTTCGGGCAGGCCACTGACATTTTAGTAGTAAACTATCTCAAAGAAACATTTTTTTTTTTTTAAGCTGAGCCATCCTGCTACCTGTTGGCAGCTCAGCGGCTGCTCAGCTCGGGCTGGACACGAACCGCTATTGCTCAGAGCTCAAACTCTTGAGCGAGCTCTTAACCAACTGAGCCACTCAGCTGGCCCTTCAAAGTAACATTTTTAGTATTATCCTTGATGCTTTATCTTCAGAAGCAACTCTAGGAAATGCTCCACACACATGCGTCACAGATTTACGAGTAATGGTTCCTACCCAAAATTTCTGCCGTCTCCAGATGCCGCTCGGGAAACATCTGCGCGGTGAAAGTGAACACGGCTGGGGAGGTGAGCACCACAGAAAGGCCATGAGGCTGCAGACAAACAAGACGTGGTGAGCAGCTGGCCAAAGCTGGCCTTCAACCTGCATGTTCTAGATAGTAAATTACTTTACCCTGTATGCCAAGCAATCAAGAATTGACAAATACATTTATGGCAACTGCGAGGACATAGAAGATTTAATTAAAGAATGTATTATGATTTTTACCACCAGCGGGTGATCCACATTATAATCCTTTGCTTTATATGTCTTCACTAAGCCTGAAATTGGGTAAGACATTCCATGGCTAGAAAAGAAAGAAAGTCCTTATGTTGACATACAGATATCAGAAATTCAAATTAACAATACAAAGATAATCTTATGGGACAGCCCTTTATAGTCTTTTGACAATCCTGCTATCTCACAAAGTTACACATCCTGCTTTCTTTGATATAAGGATATGTTATTAGGTGCTCGGTATTTGGTGTTATTCATAACAAAACCTCTGAAATATTCAAATTCAAATGCTCATAGAATGGTATGCCATGAAAGCATGTTGATGCAGAAGTCGCTCCCCAAACACATTGGTTACCCTTACGATCTTGAAGAAATGAAGAATCCACTTTGAAGTGTCTTTAGTAAACTTCAGGGCATGCATTTTCTATCCTGCTCTGCAATGCTTTGGCCTCATGCTCCCACACAGACTGACAACGTCCGTGGGAGTTTTATGAGCCAAGATGTGCTGTGTTACACATGCAAACTTTACCTGCCAGTGATCTGTCCCACCAATAACATACATTCTTTAGAATGTTACATACTAATGGAGTTGAATCATAAATGATTATTCTAGCCTGAAGTTGCTTTCAAGAAAAGGCGCCATGTTTTTTTTATTTGTGGGGATTTTCTTTTTGGTTTGTTTTAATGGAAAAACTCTTTATGTCTTCTTGAGTTCTTAATGAACAAATAGGATAATATTATAGTTTAATAGAAAACTCAGAAGAGTAATTTTCTGTAAGATTCGTACACTGTAAGAATATAGTTACCATTAGTATATTGAAAATAAAATGTTTTATAATAGTAAAATGGTCTGTAAGTCTATTTATATGGGTTATTGGATGACTGTGCTTATTTACCAAATGATGTGCATTTCATAGAAAGATGAAATATTTTTGTGAACAGTATAATTATCTGTCCAAAAAACAGGTGCCCCTTGCCTATCATCTTTTATGAGGCGGATCGGAAGCTATCAGTTCTCTGAGTTGTTGGGTATTTTGGCATGTGTTTTACCTATCTCAGGCTCCAGAGTATTCAGAAAATTATTGCTTTGTGTGCTTTCATGAAGTGAAAGGGTACATGAAGCTTTCAAAGGTACCTTTCTAACAATATCCAATATTCTAGTTTCATTTCTTTCTTTCTTTTTTTAAAGATTTTATTGGGGATTTGGGGAAGGGGAATAGCCAAGTTGTTGTCCTTCAATCGTAGTTGTGGAGGGCGCAGCTAGCTCAGCTCCAAGTCTAGTCACCATCCAGCTAGTTTGATTTCTTTCAACCATTCTATATGTTCTTTAACAAAATGAAAATAATCCATAATCCTATTTCCTCAAGATAAATCATTATAGAACATTTCCTTCTAATCTTCTTGTGCATATCTTTAATTTATGATTATAGTGTGTATTCAGTTTTAAACATTGCTTTTGTTACTTAATAGTCTTTGTAAACATTTTTCCATATAATTTTATATTCTTTTAAAACATTATTTTTAATAGCCTTATTTTATTCTTCGAGTACTGCACTTTAGTTAACTATTCAAAACTGTTGGAAATTTAGGTTGTTTCCAAATTTTTCAATTATAAATAAAATTCAGGTGAGTATTGTTATAAGGAAATTCTGTGATGATATCATGATTTTTTAGGCTACATACCTAGAAGTAAAATTAGTGGGTCAAAGGGTATAAATATTTTTCAAGTTCTGGGGAGACTTTGCTACCTGCTTTTTAGAAAGGCCGTGACTGACAATCTATTTTCCTCTCAGCAGCAGAGTTTGGGGGTAACCATTTCATTGTACTCTCCCTAACAAAGTCCTATTCTTAATTCTCAGTGTTCACTGGTATTATTAATTCTCAGTGTTCACTGGTATTCATTTCTAAGGCAACATACAAATAAAGTTCTGTTCAAAACGATGAATTCTGGGCTATTAATAAAGATTCTGATCTCTCTTTTTGTGAGAGATTAGGAGAAAAAAAATACGCATTTGATGTTTTAAAAATCCACAACTCATGGCAAGGATGTGGAGAAATCAGAACCCCCATCCACTGTTGGTAGGAATGTAAAATGGTGCGGTTGCTGTGAAAAACAGTCTGGAAGTTCCTCAAAATTTAAACATAAAATTACCAGCAATTCCAAAGAAATGAAAACATACGTCCACACAAAAACTGGTACACCAATGTTCATAACCGCATTATTCATAAGAGCCAAAAAGTGGGAACAACTCAAACATCCACCAACTGATGAATGGATAAATTAAAGTGGTCTATCCATATAATGGCATGTTATTTGGCAATAAAGTGGGATGAAGTACTGATATATGCGTGAATGAACCATGGAAACTCTATGCTAAGTTAAAGAAACCAGACACAAAAGACCACATATTATATGATTCTATTCATATGAAATGGCTATAGAGACAGGAAGTAAATTAGCAGTTGCTTAAGACTGGAGGAGGATTGGCAGGTGACAGCTAAGGGGTACAGGATTTCTTTTTTGGGTGACAGTATGTCCTAAAATTGATTACGGTAATGGTAACTCAGTGAATATGCTAAAAACCACTGAATTATACATTTTAAATGGGTGAATTATATAGTGTGTGAATTATACCTCAATAAAACTGGTACCAAAAACAAAAACAAAAACTTTGACCTAATAAAGTACATTTGAATTAAGAAAATATTCCAGGACCCTAAATTAAATTTCTTCTTTCTATAGCATATTTAAATCTTACCATCTGTCCTAAATTCTAAACATTTTTTAAAAATTCAAAAGCAATTATCTTAGGTGAAGAAATAAAATCTCAGGTTTGCTCACCACAGATGAACACCAGCATTTCCAAAGCCAATGCCAGCAAAAGCACTTGCCAAGTGCATATAGGATCTTGCTTCAATATCGTCAGGATTTCTGACAGCCCTGTGGATGATATAAATACCTAACAAAAACACATCAACATTGGCATTTCCTACTGACTGAAGAGCTGACTTAGGGAGCGACCGGGAAAACAAGAAATGCAGCTCGGTAGGAAGAAAAATTAGGCAAGTTATTCAAGTGACATCTTGTCTTCTAAAGGGAAACTGAAGGTAAACACATTTTCTCATCAATGGTTTCAGCAAAGGCATAATAAATATTGTGTCAGGCTGCTCATGTGATAAAAGTGCCCAGGAAGCAAAGCACTGACCCTTGGATTGTGCGCTGGGCCTCATTCTTCTTCTTCATTTGTCAGTGACCTTGACTGCTGCTGTGAATGGACTTAGAGTAAACATATCCTCCGAAAGCACAGGGCCCAGACCCGTTCGCAGGAGCGAGTCCCTGTCGCCTGGGGCTACCTGCAGGATACACGCAGCCCGCCCATCTTTCTTGCTGGGACACTGCCCCACACAGGACCCACTGGAGGCCTCTTTTGTTATCTATGGAAACTGCACGTGTTATTTTAATATTTGTTATTGTGGAAGTGGGATGTTATTGTAGGACAGGGCTTTGCTTGCTCCCTGTGTCCCCAGCGCCACTTTGGAAAAACACACTCTCAAAGGCCCCTTTCAGATGCGGCTCTGCCTTCCTGCACACACGGCTTGGAAACCCTGCCCTGGGGAGGAAGCCTGCGACTGCCAGGCGAGCCAGTTCTCACTGGCTTTTTCGCCATGTTGCCTGGAGTAAGGAAGGGTTCCTGTTATGAAATAAGAGTGCCACGGCCTTTCCCCCGTTTCATTCGGAATGGTAAGGCGTTTGTGTCTCCTTTCCAAAAACCAATGTTCATTCCGTATTTCCTGATTAACAAGACGAAATGGTAGATGATAGGGCTTCAGCTTTTCCTGTGTCCATTTTACCCCCTCACCTCCCATCGCTGCTTGACCAAGCCTTCTGTTCTTCTCAAACACACTGGCTGACCATTACCTGTACCCGCTTCTACCCAGTCAAATGCTGCCATGCTCCCTGAAGGTCCCCGCGAGCCTGAAATAATTCCATGTCACTTCTCCCGGCTCCACTACAGATGCAGTCCAATCCCCTCTCCGGCGCAGCTCCCAGCTCAAGGCCAGAGGAGGCTCTGGGCTCACGTCTAGGCCTGACCTGCTGTGTTCTTGCCCTCCCTTATGTATAAGTGCAAAGGTGAGTCCGACTTTGAATGTCTTCATGTCTCAGGGATCAGCTTTCATCTCCAAGTGTCTCTCTGCTGCCTCAGGGCCTAGCATGGCTGTGTCATTCACAAATCTTTCATAACCGTTTAGGAAGCCTTTCGTATCTGTTGGGACAGACAACTCCACATGTTTAATTTTTAAAATCTAGCTCATGTGAGCGTGCTCACTGGTAGACTCCGTGTGCCTTTGCACAGGGCCAGGATGGGCACAGCCGACATCTGCCTCTGTGGTTCTCTAGTCTGCCCTTGTAGCCAGATCTCAGAGGACAACTCCCCTCCACTCAGCTTTAGTGTTGAGGATTTCATGATTAATCCTTCTCCCTGCATCCTTCATCAGTTAGGAGCTCCTATTTTGTACCCTCACAGGCTTTTGCCTCTTCAGACGGAAGGATCCAGTTTTCCTTTGCCCTCACGTGGCTCCCTCCCGTCTCTTTCATCCTCCCAGAAGCTTGCTGGTGTAAGCCTAGCATTGACTAACCTTTTGGTGATGGGACTTGCTCAGGACATCTCAGGACCTGGCATAGCACGTTTTCGGCGAGGGTGGAATGTGGTCTTTCTGTTCTAGTTCTAGCTCCTCTGGGTGACATACCTTTTCAGATACTTAGCGACGATCCGCAGGGCGTGGACTGCCCAGATGTCGCTGATCGGGTTGCTGCCCTGGTAGGCTGGCCGGGAGATCGGGTTTGAAGGGCAGGGGCTCCGCATGTGGTAGGGAAGGGCTGTGTAGGACTCCAGAGCATGGCTAACGAGAAGTATTTAAAAGGCACAGGTTGAAAACAGTGTTTTTGACGAGTCTGTATAAGATTACATATGGCAAATAAATCTTTATGGTGTTAAATTTTTAAATATTTAAGTCACGAAGCAAAGCACTGAATCTAAAAAAAGTATTTCCTTCTAAAGTATACTTACGATTGTATACCTTGCATTGCTCAAATACCATCTTACCCAAGGAGTATATTAATTACACTAGCCTCCTATTAAGAGGGTGATGTAGGGTGAGAACAATAACCCTGGGGTCATCTGCCCACATGTAAATTCTGGCACCAGATTTTCGCGCTGTGGGCATGGGGGAGTCACTACCCTCCCTGTGATTCTAAGACAGGAATAAATAATAGTACATCTTCATGGCATGACTGTGAAAATTGAGTTGACACCGGTAAAGTACTTACTTAGCACATTGGACCAGCACATTATAAAACTTATCATTCACCATTATTAATAAATCTTGGTCTGAAAAAAATTCCAGTTCTTTTTCCCTATGTGCACTAAATTCAAGACCCAAGCTTCAGAGTTTCCTTCACCTGCTGGCTTGCCACCAATTCTAGATAATCAAGTGCTGAAGATAAGAATAAGTATAACCGTCTAGATCAATGATGCATTGGAAACACAATATAACATGAACTATTTTTTGCATGAATTATAATTTTCAGTCTTAAAATGGAGCATTTACTCTCTTCTACATTTGAGAAGCAGCTAATGTCTTTTGAACAAAGCATTAGAACTTAACCAAAAAAATTAGTCGGGAGACAGAAGCTATGGCTTTGTGGTTCTAAACAGAGAATCTGTGGGTAACGTAAGAATGAGGCGGCCATGTGGCCAGGACGGGGTGGCAACGAATCTACTGAGGTCGAGTCGAGCCTCTGCCCTGCATGCATCTCAATTCTGGGCCCAAGAGCAGCTTGTCTCTCAAGGGTACACGCACAGAATGGCATTCACGGAAACTATGTGTAAAACCTAGAAGTCTGATTATTGATTTGCAACGAGAAATGTTAACTGCTGAGGGGGTCAGACATTTGAGTCTTCCAGATGGCATCTTTTCTCCCTACTATCCTATAGATGCTAATTTATGATCAGAAGGCCCATGGAGTCCTAAAAAGGGGGACTGCCTCTAAGGCTGAGTGGGTGGGTGTGGCCATCTTCAGAACAGGCTACTGGGCCTCAGGGGCAGATTCTTCAGGCCAGGTGTTCTCTCCCTTGGACAATACTTGGAAGGGCAGCTATCATCATTCTGAGCCCACTCCCTTCTCTGATTGACAGTGAATCATTCACTTAAAGACAACTGCTTTCATCCATTATATATTTATTATGCAGTTTCCAGTCAGGGAGGGTAATGTTATTTCCCTCATTTCCAAGTTGTTAGGGGAGAACTCTTCAAAGTACTGATAACATTGACCAAGATGGAGCTGAACACAATTTTTTCCAGTTTCTTGAAGGCAGCGTAACGTATTGAGTAAAGCAGACCATGAACTTGGGTAGACCTGGATGTGAATCCTAAGTCCGCCACCTCCTGCTTGTGTGAAATTCATCTAACAGGTATTAATTGAGTACCTATGATGTGACCGCCACTGTGCCAAGGGCAGTGGTAGATAAGTAAGATGGTCCTGTCCTCGCCAAGCTCACGGTGCATTGAGGGAGAGAGGCGTGTGAAGAGAGGGGTGTCTCAAAAGCAAAGGGGAAGGGCAAAGGACAGAGCGTTCAGTTGTACTTGAGGAGAGGGAAGGGGAGGGTCAGAAAGGCTCCATCAGAGAGAGAATGTTCCAGTGGAAATGAAAGATGAGTTATCAAAGCAGATAAAGAACTGAGCTTTGGGGACATTCCAGGGCCAAAGGAATTTGGCCATTGGACAGTAGGCATGGAAAGCCATTGAAAGGCTTATAAGGTAGAGCTGTGTGTGTGTGTGTGTGTGTGTGTGTGTGTGTGTGTGTGTGGTGGTGGTGGTGGTGGTGGTGGTGGTGGTGGTGGTGGTCATATTGCATTCTGAAAGCTTGGTGAGGCCAGTGTGGAGGACAGATGGCAAGACTATGGGATGGCAGCAGGGAGATCGATGAGCGAACTCCTGCAATGATCAGGGTAAGAGCTGAGGCAGGCCTGAACCAAGGTTGGAGCAATGAGGCTCGGGAGGGAGCAAATATGAGAGAGATTCAGCAAGACAAGAGAGAGGACCTGCTAGCTGGTGTGGGCACGAGAGAAAGGAGACATTCATACTGAGTGCTGCACTCGCTAAGTTAAGGGACTCAGGAGGAGAAGCTGTGAGGGGCGTGTATGTGTGTGTGTCGGGGGTGGGTGAGGGGGTGGGAGGGGCGGCAGAATTAATAGAATTATCAGATATCATCAAATTTAAGATGCCATGCCTTATACGATATACCATCAAAAAAAAAAGTACCACCAAGGAAGAAAATTATACTGCCATGCCACAGATTTTAAGATATGTTCCGATTTTAGAGATGTGAGAATGTGAAAAAATATGCATGTGAAAGTGGGTGAAAGAGGGAATTTTGGGACCTGCTGGATGTGAAGTGCCCTGGGACCTCCGTGAGTGAGGCCGCTGGAATGAATGGCCTGCAGCTCAGAAGCGAAGTCTGTGATGGAAACGCTGATTAGGAAGCCAGGAGCACATGGCTGCTGAAGGCAAGGGAGCATGCGTTATGACTCAGGGCGAGCTCTCTGTTTCCCCTGACCCAGAGCTGTGGTGAAGCGATGGTGCATGTAAAATGCTAACACTGTGAGCCCGGTTCAGCCCGCGGAACGTCAGCTCCCTGTCCTGCCCTCGACCACGTTTTGGCAGCCCTGGGCATTCCCTGGTTAGTGTAGCCATCGAGGCATGCCAGCTCCAACTGCTCCTTTTGCCATGTCCCTGCAGCTGCAGCTGTGGCTGGGGTGATCCATCCTGAACAGCAGGTTCGTCGCTTACCCATGGCCTCACCTACTTACCAATCTTTACAGCTTCAATAGCTTCATCTGGGCAAGGGGATAATAACAGCTGAAGCTGGGGCTGCTGTGGAGTACTGAATGTTTAGCAAGGACTCTCAGCAAGAAAATACTGTCCATAGACCCAGCTACTGAAAAAGCCCCTCCAGGTGGCACCTTACCTACCAAAGCACATCGAAGCCACTGTTGGCGACCACCCGTTCAGGCATGTGCAGCGTGTGCAGAGGGTCGATCAGTCCCAGCGTGGGTTTGATGGCTCGGGAAGCAATGCCTAAGACACGGATTTTCAATTGAGGCTAAGTATGGACTCCATTTTAAAACATTCAATAACTTTAAGATAAGGAATTATCCTAAAAATAAAAAATATGAGACAAGGTTCATTCTCCTGTATGCAAGTGGCAAGGAACAGTGGAAAGAGATTGGGAGTCAGAAACCCGGGTTTTTCAGTGGAGCTGAAGCTGCTTCTGGTTGGAAAAAGCCAAGTGTGAGCATCTCTTCCCAAGTCCAGGATGAGTGACAGCATTGGCTCTGGTGGGAGTATTTACACCACAGAAATTGGCAATTACTACAAATCAGGGCTTATTTACTTATTAAATTCTAGAGAGCTGGTTTATTAGCACGCCACTGGTTTGGTTCCTTGCTCTGCAACTTACTGTGTGTCTTTGGGTAAGTCACTTAGCCTCTCTGAGTTCTCTATGAGATTAGATTATACCATCACAGGGCCTCCATCTCACACAGAGCTGTTGTAAGGATCACATTAGATGACATGAAAAATTCTTTTTAAAAACTAAGGTAGGGCTTAAGTGTTGGTAACTATTATTATCTTAACAATGTCAAGGGATAATGTAATTTAATTTTGAAAAGAGAAGTTACTATAAAAATGTGGTTGAATGTCAATTTATTCTGCTACAAAGGCCCAGAAGAAGAATACTGAGCCAGACTCAAGGAGAGGGACATTTCTGCCACCTTAGCTGAGAGTCAGAGAGGAAGACAGGATAAAAATGATAAAGAAGATGGAAAGCAGAACAACTGTTACTCAGGAATGGGGCTGAGGGATTGACTAGGAAGGAGCAGGAGGGAACATTCTGGAATGATGGGGATGTTTTGTGTCTTGATTGGGGTGGTGGCTACATGGGTGTCTATGTTTGTCAAATTCTATCAAACCAGACTCTTAAGATGCATGCATTTTATTATATAAAATGATGTTTCAAGTTGATTTAAATTATGTCAAGTTGATTTAAAATATTAAAAAGGTGGCCAAGAAAGGGAATGACCATTTATCATTGACATACAGTCACTAACTTGGGCAGAAAAATGGCCAATCAAGGTTCATGACATTTTTATATGCTTGTGTAGGTAATTTTCAAAAAAGAAGTTTATTAGATTGTTTCATATTTTTATATGTACTTGGAAAAAGAAAATGCATATATGTACGTACCCTCCCCTTAACTCCATAATTCCTTGTTAAATATTGCGATTAAAGAAGAGGGGATGGGGTTGAAAGGTAAGAGAGAGAATTAAAAAAAATGTTAATGGGCAAAATTCTTACCAATTTTTACTTTCAAGTGTTCATAGTCAAAAATGGCAACTCCGGTAGTTTCACTCCCAGTTCCTGAAGTAGTTGGGACTTGGACAAAATAATATTAATTTTAATACAGCATCTAAATAAAGGTTGGTGGAGATACTTAATTAGCCTTAGGAAATAAGGAGCAAAATTAGAGAAGGAAGCTTTGCTGCCCTCATTGCTTGTCTGATGTCTATTAACATGTATGTCTGTTTCACATGTATGTTAGTGTCTGCATTAACATGCATGTATAACAGTATGATGCTTGTGTTGGCATTAACATGTATGATGTCCAAGTCTGCATTAAATGCATGCATGTGTAACCTGTGTATGCATTTTGATGTGTATGTGTGATGCCTATACCTGTGAACATGTGTATACGCTGTCCATGTCTGTATTAACACACATGCATGTTTAATGTGTACATGTGATATCTGTTTCTGTAGTAACATGAGGAGCTCTGGGAACCTCAGGTTCCTCGGTGCCAGTACTTAAGCAGCTGCAGTGGGTATTCAAATGCAGACTGTGGGCATCTCCAGGAAGAAAACCCCTATTCGCCTCTCTAAAAGACGTCTTCATTCCCTCTTGGCAGCAAGTAATGCTCTGCCTTTGCTGGGCTCGTGGTTTTGTAGTTCTGTCAAGTTTCTAAACTTGACTAATCATGCCTCTGTGTGATGCTGCCACAGTCTCCCCGGAGGGCTCCACTTGCCAGACATCGGTTATGCTGCTCCCTGCTGACTGCTCATTCACATCAGAGCAGTTCATCTGCCATCAACTCACCCGCATCCCATCACAAGGCCCATTCACAATGGGGACAGGACATTAAACTGATATTTTCCAGTTACCAGTTAGTGCATTTGAGCTGTAAAACTTTAAATAGTAATAAGCTAACAGCCATAAACAGAGAGGGAAGAACAGACAGAGGGAACCCAAAGTCTGTGTTAAATAGACAAGCTATTCTGATTTGGATTTGCGTGTCTGCGCCCCTGGCAGCCACAGAGCAGATGTCACCCAGAGCGAGGCGGCCATGCTGGCCACATGTCCAAGGGCAGACACAAAGCCTCAGGTCAACTGAAGAGCCATTATGTGGAAGAAAGGGTTGCGTCAACACCAGAAAAATAATAGTGAATGTTCCCTTTAAACTCCACAGCGGCTGGCAAAATGGGACAAAACAGAGTGGGGTTTAGAAGAAACACCTGCTGAGAGAGGCATCTATTAAGTAAATGATGACCTGCCCCCTTCCTTCAAATAGTGATTTCATAGCTTTAATCTGCAGACTTTCCTAGCACTGACCCAATAATTCCTATCTGTGCAATAAGGAAGATCAGAATTTTAACATAAGTGAATTGCTGTCTGTTTTGATCTCCAAAATGACGAGATCAGAAAGCTTTGGAAACATCTACTCTAACATTCCTGGCTTGCATCTTTCCTAAGGCCTTTTGCCGATTGCAAAATAAGACAAACAAATACACAAGCAAGCAAACAAACAGTCTTTACCTGCAATCAGAGGCTTAAGAGGCACAGACACGGGCTGTCCCTTCCCAATGGGGGCACTGACATAATCTAGGATATCAGAGTGAGGGCTGGACGCAAACAGGTTAGCGGCTTTACAGGTGTCCATGGTGGAGCCACCACCCACAGCAACGTAGGCATCAAAAGCTCCCTTTCTGGCAAACTCAATAGCTTCCATGAAGCTTAGAGAAGGGAAAATGAAAGCATTATGTCATATTTTTCAGAAATAAATGGCCATGCCATTACATAAGGCCTGGGACACGTTTTAAGCAACAGTGATACGTGTTGGCTTCCACGTAAGGTAAACAACAATAAAAAAATACCTTTTATCGGTTGGTTCCACCCTCACATTATCATAAACCTTAAAGTTTATGCCATTCTTCATTAGAGAATCCATAACTATTTGTACAGGAGGAAGCTGGGAAAGGTTTTTGTCTGTCATCAAACAAACATTCTTAGCACCCATGTTTTGTAGGTCCTACGGTAACGAAAGTAATTTATAAGTTAGGTTTGATTGCACTAGAAATGTACTAGACACTCTGGTAAGCTGAACGTTGAACATTGAAAAAAAAAACACAAAGAACTCAACTGTTGTCAACCTGCACTTTTCAAAAAGATATGTCACCTCTACAGTAGACTCTAGAAATCTTAAATACTTGCCATTCCGACTTCCTTTGTAACTCCTGCTCCATATCTAATATTTGAAACAGCCATCTGAAAAAAAAAAAAGATGTAGGTGATGGGCGTATTAGGGATTTGACCATTTCATTTCTCAAAGCATGAAATGGTTTCTCATTGTCTAGAGAGTAAATATTTATTCAATAGCATGGCCTTCCAGGTCACCCTTAGACCCATCATATTTCTTTGAGCAAACCTTGACTCTAGTCACTTTGGAATTATTTATCTTTTTCCAGACTCATCATAAACTCTCAGTTGTTCCCTCAGCTTGAAATGCCTGCCTTCTCTTGCCTCTATGCCTAAGTTACCTCTCAAATTTCTATTTTCCATTTTAAATGTTGTTGGTTCCTCGTGTATTTTTTACCCCTTCGTTCACTCATCCAACCATTCATCTATCCAACTACTGTTGCATGCATGTATCCATCCATCCATCCATCCATCCATCCATCCATCCATCCATCCTCCGACCCACCCCAAAACTACTGTGTGCCTGCTATGTTCCAGGCTCTGTGGTAGGCTCTGGTAATACAACTACTAACGAGAGAAACACGGCCTCATAAAGAGCTTTCATATTGATGGATAATGGGTCACTTTCGTCTCAAAGACGTTTTGTTTGATCCACATTATGTTTAGATTTTTTTTTTGAATTGGCTAATAACTCTTAAGAATCAGGATTAAAAAAATACAATGTGTCTGTCTTATCTCTCTTGAATAATTGGGCAACACTAAGCCTGCATTCCTGGGAGGCAGCAGTCACGTGGGGCTGACTGGAGGTCGCACTTTCAGATGGGCCTGTGCTCTCAGTGAACTTAACTCCATCCTCACCCAGCCTGCTCAGGGGCAGGTTAAATGTTAGGCCCCTGGTGACATGTACTTTATGATGCTTGAACTAGGAGGAGACAGGGATTTAAACAAATACTTATGTAAATACGGTGTGGTAAAAATTCATCAGAATGAATTGTTCATTTATTCTTGTGTCAAAAAATTACTTGGACCTCTTTTGAGATTGCTATAATTACAAAACTAAAGAAGATTTAATATACAACATATATAAAGTGGGAGTTTGTAGAATTGGGAATCTGTCCTATTTTAACAGCTATCCAGAGGACAAGTATCGTAGGCACGACTCATGTTAACAGGTTTCTATTCCATTATCCTAACACGGTACTTTGCTAACTAGGGCCTGATCAAGGGAACATCAATTAATAACCGATTTCAAATGATATAATACTGCATTAGCAAAATACTCTAGTTGTATTTTTTTCAGGTCATTCATAAAAGAAAGAATAGACTAATTAAATTTACCTCGAAGGCATAATCTGTTGTTTTCCCATAAGGTGAAAATCCAGGAGCTAGAAATGTAAAACTTAGCATCAGAGTAGGCGTCAAAAATAAAGCAATATATTGTTACTTGACAGTAAATTGGTATTCCAGCAGTGAACACCAGCAAGGAACATAAACATCTCCCTTGAAGCCTTACCTAAAATATATTTTTCAGGTTTCATTGTTGCATATCAAATTAAACCTGAATTTTAAGAGAATGTAATGCTAACTTGATGCATATTGTGTGAAAATAGAGGTACTTAGAATATTTTTTTCCATTGAAATTAAAATCTACTTTTGAAAACACGATGTGTAAAAATCTTCCAGAAAAGAAATCCTCTATACTTTACAGATGGGTTATTGTTAGAGAAAAATGATTAGTAAATTCATTAATTAGAGTCCTGCTTACACTTCTTATAGCAACCGTGACCATTTGTTTAAATTAAGATTTTTTTCCATGGAGTTTACTTATCACAGTAAGATATTTCTATTTTCAAGCTTATGCATATAAAAAATTTTAGTTTTGTGAAATTTAACTTAAAAAATTTATAAAGTGATATTTCTTTGCAAAGTATCTGGTTTTAGTTATGGCAAAAATGATATTCTGTGATATTGGAACAACAACAGGGCCCCACTAAATGAATTTTATCCTTGTTTTTATCTATTCTTTTTATCAGTCCTAGTGAGTCATACAATTGAAAAAAAATCTACCAAACAATTTTCACTACCATTTTTTTTTTAAAGAAAAAGACCACAACTAGACAATAATCTACCTTCAGTTTCCTAAGGGTGAGGGTATCCTTAATCAAAATTTAAATTTCTTTGATTACTATAGGCTTTAAAGAAAAAAATCTATTACTCCTGTGACTAAAGTTTAGGAGAAGACATAAATTAGATCCTATTAAACAGAGGTTATCTTTCTCTAAATTACTAATATTATTCCCCCAAACAGGAAATTTCTGATCCTTTGTTGAAACCAAGTAAGAATTGGAGAAAACCAGCTGAAGACGCATGTTCAAGAGGGCCTGGAGGGCTGGGCATGTGTCTGCGTGGTCGATGGCCATTAATGAATGGGAGGTCCCTTGGCTAGTCCTTAAGAGTGAGTCATTCCACCGGCAGGCAGAGCCCTCAGTTATTTTGTCTGCTCTACTCCCCAACAGGCTTCTCTGGGGGGGTTTTGCTTAAGATTCTGCATGGGCAGGCCGCCTCCTTTCTATCCCTCCCTGCACTGTTTAGATTTGACCTTTCCTTCTAAGAGGTAAAATCAGTGTTTGTGTCAGTAATTCATGTGACAGCCATTCTGAGGACACACTGAAGTTACGCTGGGCTTCCTGCTGCTTTGTGGACAATGGAGTTGGTACTGATTAAGATGTTTGTGGGAACTGCAAACTTCTGTCATTCTTTTCAATTATTAAGAAATAGAATGTTATTTTAAAAATTAATACCAATAAATTTTTTCCTTCCAGGAACCACCTTGTTCTTTAGCTTCTTTCTTTCTCAAGATGTACTAGAAACTTCCAAAGATTTCATCTTGATGAATTCCGTTTGATGAACTCAGACAATCTTAACATATATATTTGAACCCAACCCATAATCAGTAGCATACATTCAGCTGCCATCATATAATTAGAACTACATATTACCAATTTCAAATGAGAAGACAACCATTTTTATCAACCTTCTCACATCCCTTGATTTTCTCTGCTTTACCCTTTGTCCAAATATATGATGCCAACTGTGGAAGCGGAAATTGTGGCCAGTCTAAAAATACAAAATGTATTATTACCTTGGGAGTAAGTATGCGAATGAGTTGGGCACTGGCATCTAGGGAAAAGAAAAAATGTAAAGTGAAACTAGAAAACCCAAAGACAAGAAGCCTTAAGGTAATTCACTTTGCAGCTTATCTATAACAGTCTTAAGACACCATCAAAATAGTAGCTATTGGCAAACACTGTACATAGAAGAAAAGAGAAATCACCACGGACAAAACATTGGCTCAGAATATTTCCAGTGTCGTAGGGCCATTCTTTCATGAATTATTCAAGCAGTGTTTAATAAATGCCTACAGGTAGCTGAGATGAACACCCAGGGAATATAAGTAAGTTTAAGATTGGGGTTCCTGGTCTCGGAGAGGTCCCAGCTCTTACTAAGTTAGGTGTTTTGACCAAAATGACCCACAGTTAACTATTCTCGCACCTATTCTCCTCTGTACCCCACCCGCCTCTTCCCACCAAAAACTTTCCTGTATTTTCCCATGGTCTTCAAGGTGTTTAATTTTTCTTCAAACAGGTTCTGGGCCTATTTGTGCCTGGGCCTGCAGGCCTCCCTGAGTACTACCTCGAGCCTCTGTCCTTTCTCTGCCAAGCTTCAGGGACCAGCGACCACGGCCCAGGCTCCTTGTGTTCATCCCCTCCCGGCCTAAATTGCACTCACACCTGCCCCTTTCCTCTCACCAAATCCCTTCCTTACTCTTCTCAGCTCTCAGCCTGCTTCTCTGCTCTTGCCTTCCGTACGTATCCCTTCCCTGTCCTGGTCGCCTCCTAGTTCTTGGACAGTCCCGTCTCTGGCTTCCCTTTGTCCTGCTCACTATCGGAGTGTCCTAAGGGGTTTTATGTTCCTAATTATTGCCCGGGGACCTTGTCATAGTTGGGTCCCTACGGATATGTGAATGTATAACCTTCTGTCCCCCATTCAAATTTGGAATGAAAACATCTGAGGTGGGAAAATGGGGAAGGAAGGGAAAGGGTTGAACTCAACGGCGGTCACGATCTCAAAACCTGAGAATCGGCAAGTCAGAACCACGAATCAAGGCTGCCATCTTGTGGGCGTCGCGAGAACGCTAGGTGCTAAGTGTTTCCCGGGAGCATCCCAGCTGGTCTGATCCAGCCTCAGGCTCCCTTCCACAGGAGAAATGCAAGTGGGCAAGGCCAAGGTGTTCTCCTTCACGCGGGGGGGGGGGGGGGGGGGGCGCGCTTTACACACTCCAACGACAGGAAAAAAGAGGCAAAGGGAAGAAGAAAATCAAACCCAATCTTTCCAATGCCCAGGACCAGTGGGAGCACACGCTTCCTTCCACCTCCACCTTCCTTCTCTTTTTATAGTTTTCAGACTCTGAGGCTATCTGTTGGTCATTTCTACTCCTTCTTATTTGTGCCTTGAATCCCATCCCCTCTTGCCATCTTGGGATCTCCATCTGTCCTGCATTTCCTGCTCTCCCTCTTCATTCGATTCTTGTCAGATCATATTTAAGAGTTTCTTGTTAAAACTTTCAACCTCTTGCCCCTCCGCTTGCTCTCGCTGTGTCTCGACTCCAGGCCTATATCTGCTGGTTCCATTTCCTTGCCTCTCACACATTCCTTGGCCCCTGAAATCTGGCTGCTGTCTTCACAAGTCCCAGCATTCCTGCTGTATCCTTATGTCTCAGACCTCCCACCACCTTGCTCTCACAGCATTGAACACCGTGGGCCACCCCTCCTTGGGTGGCTGAAACACTCTTTTGGCTTCTAGAACTCCTTGCTCACCTGAGTTTCCTCTAATTATTCTTCCTCCAGCTTCTTCTTTTCCACTCTGCCCATTCCTTAAATGTTGGATTCTATCCCGGGCTCACCCCTTACCCTTTATAGCAGTGGTTCTCAACCTTCCTAATGCCGCGACCCCTTAATACAGTTCCTCATGTTGTGGTGACCCCCAACCATAAAATTATTTTTGTTGCTACTCTATAACTGTAATTTTGCTACTGTTATGAATCGTAATATAAATATCTTTTTGTTTTCCGATGGTCTTAGGCGACTCCTGCGAAAGGGTCATTCGACCTCCAAAGGGGTCGCGACCCACAGGTTGAGAACCGCTTCCTTAAGGCATCACCTTTTAGCTGGAGCACTATAATTACCTCTACTCTTTCTTCTCCACTTTACACTGCCACCAGAAAGCTCTCACATAATTCTAATTATGCCACACTTGTTTGTCATGCAACCATTCCAAAAACATGTTCTACATGACACTGGTTCCAAGGGATATAAATGATAAAAGAGTTCTATGGTGACAGGTTTAGAACAAAGTTTAAATACAGCTAACCTTTTCCCCCCACTGCGGGACTTGTCAGAGCCCTTCATGTACCAATGTATGTACCCTGACTCTCCAAGAGGGCTATGCAGCACTGAGCAGTTTCTCAAACCTATCTGGCCATGGAATTCTATTTTCTTGGGGCCTTTCAAGGTATTAGTGTTTTACACTGAGAACTATTGCTTCCATAATTTTCCATTATCCATAAGACACAATTCAAATTCCTTAGCACAGGGCTGAGAACAAAGATTGTGAAGCCAGAATATCTGGGTTCAAATTATGGCTGTGCCATTTGTGTGACACTGAACAAATTCTTTCTCTCCATGCCTTTATTTCTTTATCTGTAATATGAAGATATAACACAGTATTGCATAGGATTGTTGTAACGATTAGAGTTAGTAGTAACAGTACATGGTATAGGTAAAGGGTGGGGGACAGTGCCTGACACATGGTAAGTGCCCGATAAGTTCTATTTTCTTATTCATGGTCTTTCACCATCTGTCTTCTCCATCCTCGCCTCCTCCTATGAAAGAAGGTCCAGATTTGAACTACATTTAGATGCTGGAACGACATCTCTTGCCTCTGGTGCTGCTCTTCCCTTTGCCTGAAATGCCTTTCCGGCCCCCCACCCCATCCCCCATGCTTATTTACCTTCCCCTTGGCTTGAATATTTCCATGTTTTCCCAGGCCCACTAGTGCACTTGCACAGTCAACCAGTATTTTATCATGTGGCTGCTATGTACCCGGGATTTTTACGGGGCAAGTCTGAAACATGTCATAACACTTAACACCCTGACTCCCTCCCTGTACTGCCAGGGAGTGAAGCTCCTGGTGCTTTCTCACGTCCACCTTTCTCTTCTACACCCTCTGTCTGCTGCAGTCCGCATAAGCCCGTTTTACAAACCTTGTCCTATCCTCGATATCCTACTACACTTTAAACTGCTCCAGGGTCTTTCATCGTTGTAGCCCCAGCACCTAGTTGGCACATAACATGTACCCAATATAAATGTGTTGATTGGCTACATAAATTCGTCTTGGTCACTGTCAAGCCCTCCACTGCCTGTCAGGATGTGGGACCAGGCACTGTCCTCTCTGGGCTGTAGCTTCCTTAACAGATCAGGGTCAAGCCTGCTCTATGCGCGGTGCATGGTTGCACGGCAGTGTGACAACGCGTTCCTGCCCCACGCGCAGCGGGCGCGCCCGGCTGTAGACCTTTCCCCAAGTTCTGGAAAGTAACCCGAGGAAGAATGCGCGGGGCCCGGGCGGGTCACACCCAGTGGGGCTGCGTGGGCACGGCGGCACCCTCGGATCCCCTGCCCGCCCGCCGGGCCCCGCACTCACGTTGCGCGCTGCAGTTGGCTCAGCAAGTGCGCGACTCGAGAGCGGGCGGCGGCGGCCATGGCTACGCGGGCGTCTCCCTGTGGCCCCGCCCCCTGCGCCGGCCAATCCCAGCCGCGACCTCATCATCCCGCCCACTCGGCCGCGTCTGCCACCCACTTCGCTAGGTACCCTTCGCCCAAGCCTTTAGCCCTCAGTGGCTCAGGACCCCTTTCCCACAAGACAAAACCTCAACTGTTCCAGCTGCAAAGTCTCACCATCCACCTTTGAAATTGCCGTAAAGATAACTGCTCCGTAGGGTCTTAAGTCTCTCTTCTTAAAACCTTCTGTCACACGTGGGGAAAGGGAGAAACGAGGGTATTCTTTCCGATTCCTTTAGAATGCTATTCTGCTTTCTTAAAGTATTTTCAGAATAAATTAAGACACTGCATGTAAACAAGAACCTTGCAAAAAGCCCGAGGGTCCTTTTTTACAGTATAGTGGTGTATCCAATTGCTAAATTACCAGTATTGTGTCCAATTGCTAAATCAATCAAGTCTAAAAACAAAAAAGAATTCCCAAACAAAACAGCAACAAACCGCCTCCAGCCCTCCCTCCCCCACCCAAGATTTTAAAAGGTTAAGTGCTCTGTGAATGGCTTGGCTTTTGAAGTTGTTCACATTGCGTTAAACGGTTTAATCAGTAGTTAAAAATGTTCCATGATTACACTATACCTTGGGAGGGTTTAGCAGCCCGAAGTGTACCTAGTCCCCCCAGTGGCAAAGTTCATCAATGATCAACTTGGCAAAGTTCAACTTTTAACTTAACCTGCAAGTATCCTAAGATAGTGATGACTGAACATGTGTTTTAAGTAACCTATTATGAAATCTGAACATTTTCGTTCATAGCAATTTCTAAAAGTAATCTTATAAAAATGAGAACACTGAAAAAATGAAAGAAAATATAAATTCCCAATTTTAATTTCTTGTCAGATCAAATAGTGTGAAGTCCTCTAAACGCTGTAATAGTAGCAAAAACGATCCCCTCCCCCCAACCAATCCAGGGATTCTAGATCTATGAATCCTTTTCAGGAGATATTTTTTACAAAGTTGAGTTACTTAGATGAATTAGGGCGAGACCCAGAATAGCTAAACATTTCACCTAAACAAAACAGTTCAGATCAATTTGACAAATGAATCAAATAATATTCCAATTAAGGATTTTGTGGGTTTTCTTTCTTCCCCAAAACAGACCTCATATGAGCCTTTAAAAAATTAGGGACATAAATGTTGACAAAGATTTAAGTATTTTCTGGATTAATGAGGATTATTACCATTATTAAACTTTATCATTTATAGCAAATCAGTGTTTTCAGTGTTGAAAGCATGAATTTTTTTTTCAGAGACACCAGTTATACTACAATTTCAACATTATATCTGATACCAAAAGAAGTATGAATTTTTCTAAACAGTGGTCTCGCTGAAATCATAATTTAGCTGCTTTGTGTTTTTCAGACAGTAAATGAAAATAATCTGTGCCAGGTATTCAGGTCACTGGCTTTCCTTAAGAGTTCTACCAACAGCCAGAGTTAAAAGCAACGTTAGATAAAGACACACTTTTATTAAATAACAGGTTACTTGTCAGGCCAGTTTTGAAAGTGTAATCTTTCTGTGTGTCACCCCCCCCACCTGCTTTGATAAATAAATACACAAGATTGTTAGAAAAATAACACAGAAATCAATCTATTTTAAGTCTCTGAAATATGACCAACTCTCTCTCACACCATACACAAAGTTAATAATAGAACTCATTCCTAGTTTCAACCAAATTCTTTATCTAATTTTTATGTCCTCAAATACATCCTTTAAATCTCCAGCCAAAGTCTTGGTTGTGGGAAAAACATTAACTTGTGGAGTCCAACACTGACATACTATTTTGAGGGGAGAGCAATCCTAGCCCTTCAACTTCAAGGTCAATGAAGGCAGCGACCACCTTATTCTGCAACCCCCTACAGGTCCTAGAACTTAACATTTAGTGTAGTTCTTGGTTTACAGCCAAGTCCGAGGGTGAAATTCATTTCCTCCTCTTTCCTCCTTGGTGTTGCCCTCCTTTCCTCTTGCCACCCAAGCCAGGCGGTCGGGAATTCATCTTGCCTCCCAAGCCCCCTTTCCTTTTCCCTCCCTGGCTGGGCGGGCCGCCTTTCCTCTTGCCTCCAGGACCCTGACGGCCTCCCTTTCTCTTTCCCTTTTGGCTCATTTTCCTCCTCTTGGCCGCCTCCTCCTGTTCCTCCTCTCTGATCTGCTTATTGGTGGCCCTCGTCACGTCCAGCTGAGGCTTTTTGCTGTTCATGACTCGCAGCATCTCCAACTGGCTCTTTTTCTCGGCTGCAAAGTCCCCGAAGAGGGGCTGAAACTTCCTCTTCTTGCCGGAGCCCCGGGGAGCCTTCTCCTTCGGCAGGCGCTCCTGGAAGCGCCCCACAGAGGCGGTGGAGACCTTGGCCACCTGCATGGCGCGGCCCAGCTCCTCCTTATTCTGGTGTCCCGTAGGGTGCATGCCAGCCCCGCTGGGCACCTGCGTCTTGTGCGCGCGGGCTAAGTTACGCAGTCGGTTCAGCTCGTTCTTGGCCACCCGTTCCTTCTTAGCTTGAATCCGCTTGGCGAACTGGTCCTCCAAGGGGTCGGCACTGCCGGGCACCTCGATCAGCCATTCCTTGGTGTCGTCGCGGGCGCGCTGGTAGCCCCAGCGCCGCCGCCACTGGCCGCTCACCTCGTCCCACACCAAATTGGTTTTCTTCTTGGGACGGATGCCCTTGAGGCGCGCGAACTGCTGCCATCGCGTAAGCGGCCGCGGCCGGGGCACCGGCTTCTCGCGCGGCAGGCGAGTGGTGGGCTCCGGCCGCCGCGCTACCAATGCCTCCTCCACGCGCTCCGTGGGCAGCTGCCACAGCTGGTTGATGAGCAGCTGCGTGTTGTCCCGCGCCAAGGCCCGCAGTTCGGCCTCCGGCGTGGGTCCCCCGCGCAGCCCAGTGGGGGGGTTCCGGTCCGAGGCCAGCAGGTTACCTAGATCGAACTCCAGCTCCAGCTCCTTGTGCACCGTGATGCGCTGCAGCTTCTCTGCCTCGTCCCGCTCCGCCTTTGTCAGCAGCTCCTCCACGCTCTGGCCCTCCATAGCTCCGGGTGGGCTCACTGGCTCCAAGAAGTCAGTTCAAATTACTTCTCCAACAGCGCCGGCTCAAGCTAAGGCAATACAACCACGTGCGATCACCCGGACGCTCGCCCCGGAAGAGAATGCTTCACTTCCGGAGCAACCGGAAACGGGTGCACAATCCGGGCCTCCAGAAAAGGCCGGCAGAGGGCGGTGTTGGAGAGTAGATGGCATTGGTGGTGGCCCTTTCGGCTCGAGCCCAGATGGAGGCGGGGCTGGCGCGAGGAGCCCAGACCACAAATTCGTGGAGCTGATTGGCACTGCGGCCTCGTGGAGGCGGCGGCGGAGCCGGGGCGGCGTAAGTTCCTGGGGCCGCGGATTGTGGCGGTCCCGAGCGACTCGGTCGCAATTTCCGTGAAAATGCGTTCTCAAGATGTTTAGCTCGACACATTATTTCACCAGCCCCTTGCGTGGGGGTCGTGGGTTGGGGCCAAGAAGCACACTTTCCACAGATACATGTGAAGCTAAGTGTAGAAGACTTGGTTTGCTTTGGCAGCGAGCGGGCTAGGGACCGCCCCGAGTGGGTCCGCTTGCTGACCGCCCGTAGCCCAGCGTCCGGGGCCACATCCTCTCCAGGCTTGTGGCAGAAGAGCCACAACCGGCTTTGTGGTTAGGCTGCCTGGGTTCCAGTCCTGACTGCCCGTGCTTGACCTTCAGCCTGAACTTGTTTGGGCCTAATTTAAAACCTGTAACCTCCTTAGGGCTGTTATAGAGATAAATGAGTGAATATGTCCCCAAAGGAGTTTAGACCAAGGCCTGGAACATGTCAGTGCTCAATAAAAGTTAACTAATTACCTGTTATTGTTTAATCTTCATCATGGCCCGGGGAGCGGCGCTGAAGGGGAAGTCTTATGCAGAGATTAAACACCAGGTTCTTGAGCCAGACGACCTAGAATAAGATACACGTTTACTGTACTACCTTGGACAAGTTGTTTAACCTAAGTGCTACTCATAAGTGGATAAATATGAAAGTTTCCCATATATGGTAAGCACGCAATAAACCTCAGCCGTTGTTATTCACCATATTCCTCTAATGACAAAGGAAGGCTCAGAGAGGTAAAATAACTTGTTTAAGGTTATACAACTAGGACATGTGAGAGCAGGAGGTAGCTTACGGCTTTTAGGACTACATATTCTCTGTAATGTTTTCCAGGCTCCCAATACTCTTAAAAGCGTGGTCTGGATCAGTATCATAGCACCCGTGGGAAGTTTGTTAGAAATGCACAGTCCTGGTCTCACCCCGGACGTAATAATTCTGAACCTCCATTTTAATAAGATCTGTAGGTGATGAGCATGTACAGTTAAGTTTGGGAGGCACTGCTGATTGTGTGGTTTACAGGTTTTATTTTTCTTTAAAGGGCGGTTGGGAGTAGTGAAGAGGGGATTATGCTGGAGAATTAACCTATAGAAATGGACATAGTATCCATTAGGAAATGGATTCAGTTGAGTTTCTGCTAGAGAGGGCTTTAGATACAGCCTGGTCTGTCACACCTGCCCCGAGTTTGGTCTCTTCTTGAACTCACTGTCTTTCCTCCGATCTCCTTTGTTCATTCACTCATAAACCATTTAATGAGCACACTTTGTACTTCAGGCATTGTGCTAGAATCCTCTTTCTTTCTCTTTTCCGAAAGGGTTTTTAAGATTTGCCAGGGTTTGGCTGGCCGAGTGATGCAATGGTTAAGAGTTGGCTTGGGACGCCAGCTCTGAGCAGGAGGGCCCCGGTTCGGATCCCACATGAGGGCCAGTGACACTGCCCTCCACAGCTAAGATGCTGAACAACAGCTCAACCTGGGGCTGGGCTGCCGTGAGTCACCGGCGATGGCATAGGCTGCAGCCCCTGCTGCAGTGGGCTACCGTGAGTGGCCAGCAGCCAGCGTGAGCAGCTGGCAGCC